CTGCCAAGGTCAGAGAAAACCAGAGAGGATTTGCTGAGTAAGCATGGATTGCATAAGATGGAGGCCTCAAGGCATCTGTAAATTGCTTTTTCAAAGATCATCTTAGGAGAATTGTAGAGAAATTTTAGAGTTTTTTTTTTTCTGTCCTCTTCCCTCTTTTTTTTTTTTTTTTTTTTTTCTGTGCTCCCCCTACAAGATTCTTCTGTACGTTGGTAATCCACCTACTGCTGACAGTACTGTGCAGGAGGTCCCAGGTTTGCAGTTAAATTTGGGACCCCCAGCTGGGAGTTAGAATTAGCTGTTGCTGCCACCTTTATGCGACCACTTCAGGGACTATTTCCAGTCTTTTAATTTATGAACCTGCAAGAAATACTTATGATGTGAACAATTCCATTGCAAACGTGTGCATTTGAAAGGAAGAGAAAGTTGTGATACCAGGAAGTGGTTTTACTGGGGGGCACAATATAGTGGTTGGTGAGTGACTTGTGCATATTGTAGACGTTCTGCATGTTGTGAGTGATGCTTCTTCAATTAAAAGATCACTGCTGAGGCTTGCAGCAGTTGTAGTTTTTTGCTTTGCTGGTTGAGGGAGAGCAAACAGTATTGACGAGCTTGTAAGAACAGATACCGTAGGCAGGCAAGACATTTTTTTTGAGGGGGATGTGGGTGACTAGAGTCTATTGAATTTCTGCCACTTCCAGTAACTCATCCCTACAGAGAGGTCAGTCAAAGTAAATTCATATTGTTTGACCAGGACTTCTTTAAGGGTCAGTCTGGCTGATGAGCAGATGTTGTAGAGCAACCACACCGGCTACAACATATCTTATTCATCCCCTTCAAGAGCTTGCACTTGTAGCTGTTGTTTCCTTGCATTTAAATACAGGAGTATCTTATTATCAGGGGGCACATCTACATGTGCACTTTAATGCATATTAGCCTATTTTAATGCGCATTAAAGCATCACTTAAAATGTGCTTTTTACTTAATACACATTAAAATAGGCTAATGCACATTAAGTGTCATGTTTAAAGCATGCTCTTTAGTGAATGTGCATTAGGCCAGGCTAACGCACATTTTCCTAGTACCTTAAAATAGAGGATGAGGAGGCTGCTCTGATGCACTGTAATGACAAATTACAGATTAATCAAATTTGCAGATTGAGTCGGCTGGAGTGTGGTAATTACCGCGCTCCAGCAGCCTCTTGCACCTTGTGTATCAGTGTCCCTGCACTTCAGAATGGTGGCAGGGCACTTGAACTAAAGCTCATTTGACAAGCTTTAGTTCAAGTGCTCCCACCACCGTTTTGAAGCACAGGGATGCTGATACACAAGACACTGAAGTGCTTTAAGTAGAGCAGTTCTCAAAGCCACTCTAATTAAAGTGCCCCCACCCACCCCTGGAGCATGTGTAAACATGCCCGGAGGTACTAGATTTAATATGTATTAACTAAAGCCCATTAATGCGTGTGTAGACGCGCCCTGGCTGAAGACAGCATTTGCTTGTGTCCCCCCTCAGACCAGGGCACCTGTGACGGTGTTAAACTAGCAAAGTTCAGTCTCCTCATGAGAAAAGGCCATTTCATCACTCAGGAGGTTAAAGAGAAATTAACTTTTGCCTCTTGGGTTAAACCTGCTCTGCCTTTATTTAACACGTTGGGTGAGTAATGCCATTTTTTTGTGTTTCTTCCTCATCCCTGCAGCCTGTTCCACGAATCATGGTGCAGTCTGCCAGCGTCGATGCCAGCGCTGTGAAGGTAAAGCAGGTAGGCACGCTGCAAGGCACGACAGCATTGGTTGCTTGCGATATCGTGGCAGGGAACGGATCGAGGTGGCGGACAAGCTGTGTGCAAAGGCCACTTACGGTATCATTACCTAAAACCTGTTGCACGAGCTTTGTTTCTTCTCTCTCGGACCATGAATTGCAGTGAAGGTTGCCCTGTTGTCTCAGGTGCTGTTCAATTTTTTTTCCTTTTACTTTGCTTGTGACACTTTTGAATTTGAAAATCTTACTAATCAGGATTGCATTAGTAGCAAAAACAAGAGCTTAGCTCTCTGCTGCAGCTTTATAAAAGGCAAATTGCTAGGTGAAATGTTTTCTATAAGCAGGAAGTTTCTTCTTCAAGTATCCCTCATTTTGAGTGGGGTTTTTTTGCTTAATTCTTGGTTTTACATTTCATCCCAATTCACGATATTGGCAGGAAAAAGGCTAGCACTAAGCTGGAGAGAAAATAGACTCTATGATCTCCCACAGTTCAGCAAAACTTCAGTCTTATGAATAGCAAATCAGTTTTCTCCCACTGTGCTTTTATTGTCTTAGCAAAATGTGTGTTATCTTAAAGCTTATTTTAAAAGGAAAGCCCAAAGAGAGAACAGAGCTCCAAAATCCACGTGTATAGCTCCCCCTTCTCCTCCCCTTTAGGAGCTAAAAATATATTTTAATCAACCGTACCATTTTCAGAAACTTGTCTCTCGCATTTTACTCAGCCGCAGAAAGCTAGCCCTTTGAGTCTGAAGCTCCAGTAATTCAATCAGATTCCTCTATCTGCAAATGCCACTTATTTTCTGTAGAAAAGTCTCCTTAAAGGGGGGGAGATGTCCTGTCACTGCTTCCAACTAGACTGTACAAAACACTAAAAGCTCATGTGAGGAAAAATCTGAGGGAGATGTCTGGAGCATTGTAGTAGGTCGTTATCCTCCTCTAGATTATGGACTGTTTTTAAAGAATCATCCCTTACAGTTTGAGGGGGAACAGTTCATTTGTTCGCAGGAAGCTGCTGGCTGTACTCATCGAGCATATGGCTGGTGGAAAGAGATGTCTGTTGTTGGCATTTTGGTTGCTACGTATCTGCAAATAACAGAAATCCAAAAACTAGAGCTAACTTTTTTCCCCAGCAGTCATTAAGTTTGAGCAGAGATCAAAACTGCAGGTTGACTTGTTAGCAAGTAAAATATGTATAAGTTTGACCCACTTCCAAACCCCTTCCTGTGTCCTCCCCCCCACTACCAGCTCCCCTAGCCCCTCCCCTGCCCCCAAAAAAAGATTTAAAGACATCCTAATCTTTTAGAGTACATGAGCTGGCAAAAGATATTGATCTATCGGATTTAGTAAACTTCACAGCCAAGAAATACATCACCAAAATGGGCTCTTAATCTCAGGAGGTGCAGTTAATTTCATACTCTGCAAGTGTGCGGGCTGCAGAGGAGCGTCATTTGAAAACTGGGATATAAATGACAGTTTACTTGGAAATGAATGATTTATCAGTCCTGTGAGTTAAGCCAAATAACTGTAAGAGACTTATAGATCATGGCTGTTTCACATTTCAAATAAATCCTGCCGTTCGAATGGCAAATGACCATTCCTGTAATATAAATAATATTTCAGTAAATATTGGGGGACATATTTCTTTTGCTGGACCCCTTTTTTTAATTAATGGAAGAAATGGACTGACAATTCCACCAGGGTTTTTCACACCGAGCACAAACCGACAAGCACCTAGCAGCAGGGCAGATGCCCAGCGACATTCATAAGTCTGAGACTGTGGTACTTCCAAAAGGCCCATATGTCAGCATTATGGCTAAGTACAGACAGTCGAACAGCCCAAGGCTGAATCGATTTGGTCTTTGCAGGTTAGTCTAAGCCGCGTAGATAGAACCAAAAAGCAAGTTGAACAGGCTTTTGATTCTGGAAATGCAGCCACGTGCCTGCAGTGGTCCAGACCAGAAGCCTGGGGGGGCGCTAGAGCACGCCTCCCCGCTGAGCTGGGGCAGACAGCTTGGGCCCAGGCTAGCCCACCCACCCTGTGAGGGGGGCTTGCAGGGGGTGCAAAGCATCCTGGGATGCTGAGGGACTGAGATAACTTGCATCTGGAGGGGATTGGGGACAGAAGTTCAGTAAACTGAGGTAACCTAAATCAGTTAAGTCTGATACTGCCTCCATCCAGGTTCATCTTAAACCGGTTTGGGCCATTTTGAAAGCAGTTTGAGTGCATTGAACTTCTGTTGTGTTCCAGATTTGAACCAGTTTCCAATCACTGATACCGATTTGTGTGTCATTTCTGTCCCTAGCCCAGGTGTTTTTAACAGTATAACTCCATTCTCATTCCCATGCCCATCTCTTCTGTTTCAGACTAACCAAGAGGAAGGGGGGAAGCAACCGTTCAAAGTGGCCGTGCAATTCACAGAGGCCGAGAAGGACCAGGAAAAGACGCCCAAAGTGCCTTCGCAGCAGCATACCACAGACTTCCAGGCACAGGACCCCCAAGAGGGGCCTCCAAGTCCCCTGAGCGAAGCCTCTAGCGGTTACTTTTCTCACAGCGTTTCGACAGCCACCCTTTCTGAGGCGCTCGCTGCAGGGAGCGATGTAATCATTCAGGCGGGTGGTCAGACACCGACAGCAAGTGACCTGTCACCTCCCGTCCCCATCGCTCCAGCAACAACTGCTGCTGACGTGCCAGGGCAGACGGACACCGAGAACTGTCCCGCTGTTAAGAGAGAGACTGTGGCCACTTCCGAGCTGAAAACTACCCATGTAAGGTCTAAGGACAATAACGAAGTGAACAGTAATAATGGCCTAAAATCCAAATCCTTAGTCTTACCTGTGACTCAGAGTAAACAGCTGAACGATGCCTCCTTACCCACTGATGCAAAAATCTACTTTTCTACCTCCACCCCAAAGAAGGAGCTGTTGCCCAAACAGCCAGTGACTTCACCAGCTGTGGAGTCAGTGGGGCAAGCTACCAGGAAAAAGGACCAGGCAAAGCCAGCCCCTGTTTCAGGATCGGGAGACGCCAGACCACAACTGCAGCCCGACCTCTCGTCCCAGCCCAGCACCATGGCTTCTCCATTCAGAATCCAGAAAGTCAGGACATCTGAGCTGAAGTCATTCAGCAGCATGCTGGGGGGAGACTCAGCTTGCTTGTTGAGCCCAGAGGAGCAGAAGGAGGGAGAGAAGAGCATGCCAGCTTCTCAAGGGTCAAGCCACAATGGTGCAGAGATGGTGGATGAAAAACTGGAAGTGACTTCTGATTCTGAAGATGCCAACGAAATCCCAGATTGGCTGAAAGAGGGGGAATACGTCACTGTCGGCACAAATAAGACAGGCACCATTCGATACGTTGGCCCAACTGACTTTCAAGAGGGAATGTGGGTTGGTGTGGAACTAGACTTGCCTTCAGGTAAGATGCACTCCGTGGCAGGTTGTGACGTACTAAATGTTTAACAGCCGGTGATCCCCGTTCATTATAGGAGGTCCCGCAATGAGCAAAGAGTCTGGGACTCTTTGAGGGATAGTCTCCATTTCTTCTCTTCGTGTTAGCTCTTCCAGGCAGACAGCTGGAGCTGCGGCAGGCATGCCCCTGCCTACTTAGTCGTCTTCTGCTCTGACCTTGCAGCCCCCCTCTTTCCAAACTTCCACTGACTCCTTGTTTATAGATTCATAGATACTAGGGTTGGAAGGGACCACAGCAGGTCATCGAGTCCAACCCCCTGCCCCAGGCAGGACAGAGTGCTGGGGTCAGATGCTTGCCCAGTGTCCTCTTAAAGACCGCCAAGGTAGGGGAGAGCACCACCTCCCTTGGAAGCCCATTGCAGATTTGCATTTCAGTGGGTACGTCCACTTGAGACGTTTACTGTGGAGCTGACGAATTAGCTCTGTAGTAAAGCCTCAGCGTCTACACATGCGACCCTATTAGGCCACAATAAACTAATAAATGCTAACGTGGGGTAGCACTTGTAAATGCAATTACTATCCTACAGCAGCAGCATTTATTGTGCCACAGCACATGTGTAGATGCTGATGGAGCTGGCTGGGGCACGAGGGTGCTTCAGTGCCTGCTTGCTGCCTAGCCCCACACTGGATCACCCTCCTAGCCCAGCCAGCCCCTCTGCAGCACACTGAGCTGGAGCAGAGCAACCCCAGGCTGGCAGGATGACCCCACAGGGCTGCCAGCTGGGGCTGCTCCGACCTGGCTCAGTGTGCTGCTGTCCATGATGCACGTTCAAATGCAGCGCCCGGGAGCAATAAATTCTGGCATGAACTGCACTGGAGTTTATTGTGCCGTACTAATAGCATGTGTAGACACGCCCAGTGAATTGTATTTGAACAGCTAATCCTCCTCCTTGCTTCCAAAGCCCAACAATAAGTCTATAAGCATATGAAGAATGTCAACCCCACGGAGGAGACAGATGTAGTAAAGCCCAAAGCTGCACGTGAGCAAAGGGCCATTTAAAATAAATAGAATCTGACATGTCCTGAGTAACTGATAGTCTGTGAGACAGGATCTCCCAACTGAACTGCAAAGCACCTGGTGGGCCTGGGGGGTGCCCTCTTCCTTGGATCTCTCGAGTATTTTAACAACTTTCACAGCAGCAGGACGTGGTAACCAAAGTTGTCCTCCAGCTTGACATGTGGCAGGTTAGGGTGCTGTACCTTGTAGCTGTGCGACAGGGCTGCCTGTATGGTTTCAGTAATTGGTTTCAGTAATTGGTTAGACAAGGATTTGCATGGGGTGGCATAGATACGATCCTGCCTGACAACCTCCAGATGACTTCTCTATCGTTCGACTCGAAGGCAGGCTTGCTGGTGAAGGTAAGCTGCTGTTCCTGCTGGAGGCCCGGTCATGTCTGGAGCAGATCCGGACCGGCTGGTGTGGAAGTGAGGTGGAGGGGCTCAGCCTGAGCTCTGCGAAGGACGAACGGGTGTCATGGTGGAGTAGTCTTTGCTAGCACTCCTGAAGCTTAGAAACTCATTCCCCTTAGGACCATGGCAGCCCTGAATCGTTAACAATCTGCTGTGTGGAAAGGGCGCCTGTCTTCTGTCCCCTGTCCATGGGCACCCAGGCCCTTGGATGCATGGACATCCCTTTTAGAGGTGGTTAATATACAGCTGGACCAGCCTTTCTCTGTTTTAGTTTCTCAACATCTCTCCTTTCCATCCATTGTCACTCATTTTGCTGGCACCCCTGTCTCGCTTTGATCATGAGTGGGCTAACACAGGTCTTTTACCATGAGATTTTCTGGGTGGTTTTTCTTCAAAGATGAGATGAGGCAAAAAATCCCAGTCTTCCCCCGTCACACGGAGGCCTCTCAGCAAAGCAGTATTTGCTCTAAAAGTGTCCAAAGATTTTCACCTTTGCAATAAGCCACTGCCTTGCCCTGTCAAGACTGATGCTGGCTAAAAACTAAACCAGATAGTGCTCTCAGATTACGCTGCTGAAAGACGCTAAAAGCTTACGTGTCCTGAGGAGCAGTCTGCGGCTCTGACCTCTCTCCAGTACCAGCCCGAGCTCTCCGTCCTGAAAGAGTCTTTGTCCTCACTTTATTTTTCTTTTCTTTTTTTTCTTTTTTAAGCCCTTTTGCAGGCTCGTTTCTGTACATTGGGGAGTTCACCTCCCTCCCCATGCCCTCTGGGTCTTGTATGCTATTCACATTTCTGGTGAATGCCCACCCAGCTGTCAAAGGAGGAGATCGCTCGGATGGTTACGCTGTTGGTTTATGGATCACCCAACCCCTTCCATTCGGGGAAAGCTGAATCCACGTCTCTTGCCAGGCTCTCGAAACAGTTTTTCTGAAGGAAGTTCACATCTCTGCCATAAATTTTAGGTTAGGGAATAGGGAGAAAGGATAACTTGCCACTGCAAAGCCTAGACTGAGCCATTGGTATACAGCATCCGCGACCCTTTGGCAGCCAGGGGAGGGCGTCACTGAGGACGGGAGAGCGTCAGCCAAACAAAAATGACCCCGTGGCTACCTAAGTGTTCAGACAAAGATCTGCTATAGTTCATGGCAGTTGAAATCTGTCTCCTTACGGTGCCCAGGACAATGCCTTTTGAGACTGAATTAAATGTGCTGTTGAGTGGGAAAATTGAAGTGGGAAGGATGAGGATAAAGGCAAATACCGGGATGTTTGGAGGTGCTAGCAGGATGGCCACTGCAGCTCCCATTGGCTTCAGTCTGTCATTGACGCTGAAGATCAGGCCAAAAAGCTATTTAAAATAGCTTCTTTCCCCTCCCTCCAGATGTTTTGTCTGTCACTGGTTAGCTGCACTGAATATTTAACATCTTGGCTGAGCAGAAAGAAATCTCTTGACTCGGTGGCAGAGGGTAGAGCAAAGCGAATCGTTCCACTCGCTTCCACATTAATTGTCTCCATAAAATAGCCACCTGGCATTCATTTCTGCCCGATATCTCTATAGTTTCATTTGCCAGCTTCCAGGAACGTGAGCCATGAAACCAGAAGGTTTTTCCTGGATCGTCGAGTCCAGTCTCCTCCTGTCTTAGGCAGCCATGTAAATGCGTCTCGTTAGAAAAGTGACACAGGTTAGTCATTTTAAACAGCTTGGGTTTCCTGCCTCCCACAACTCCTGTTGGAAGACTCTTTGATCGCATCTTCTTCTGATTTCCAGCCCGTATTTATCCAGTTGATGCCCATTTGTTCTTGGGCCAACGTCATCTTTTAACTTAAATAGCTCTCTCCCCGCCTTGGTATTTCACCCCGCCGTGTTTTTATAGAGAATCTCCCTAGATGCGACCCCCAACGTCCTTTACATCCCTCATTTTCTATGATTCTCATATTCTCTGTATTCATTTTGCCGGATTAAATGAGCCAAGCTCTCCTGGTCTCGTCCTGTACAGTAGGTCTCCTGATACTCCCACTATTCCTGTTTTGTTCCTGTTCTGGATAAAATGACTCAAATTTGTCTTTCTTGGGATGCGGGTGACCAGAGCTGAATGATGCTCCAGGTGGTCTCATCAACACCTCGTACCTCATTCGTAGGCATGAATATTTCCCTGTCTCCTTGAACACCTCAGCTGATACATCCAACGATCTGTTTTTCACAGCCGCATGGCGTTAGTGACTCACCATCATCTTGTGATAGACTAATATGCCTAAATCTGTTTTCTTCTTCTGTCCTTTCCAACCACTGAGCTCCCAGCTTATAGCTGCAATTTTTATTAGTCCCTAAGTGCATTACCTTGCGCTCCGTACTTTTAGCGTGTCGTCTTGTGCCAAGACCTTTCATTTCCTGCCACCCAGTAATTTCCCTTTCAGCATGACATGTTGCTGTCTCCCCATTAGCACCTTCTTCACCTGTGTTTCAGTTCATGTGCCAGTCCTCATCTTCTCCAGCTTAACTAATACTTTTCATATGTGTTGCCTTATAAAATGCTTTCCTGAATTCTCGAGAGAGTAGATTGACTGCATCTTTTCTTGCTCAGGAAAGCAGTTTGAGAGAGCTCAAATTAGCTGCTCACAATCTACCTTTGTAAATCTAAGTTGCTTTTTATCCTGCTTTTTCCTCCTTATCTTTAATTGTTCTTTCCTTCAAAATTTGTCCTAAAGTCTTGCCTAACTGTAACTCTCAAACCGTTGAAGTGCCATGGTCCGTTGATTCGCTTATCAAGTCCTTTCTGATGACTGTCAAAATAGTACATATCACAACACACCGCCCCTGGGGATTCCCAGAAATGAAATAATTAGCAAATATGGGGTAAACTCTATTTTTTGTAGCAAAAGGGACATAAGTGCTCTCCTAGGTCAGACCAATGGTCCTTCTAGCCCAGTCCTTCTCCAACAGTGGCAGTAGTAGATATGTTCGAGGGAGTATTGCATGGGATATTTCTAGAGCAGCAATCATCAACCTTTTTTCTTTTTTTAACTGTGGGCCAAAATGACCCAGTTAGGGGTCAGAGGGGAAGGCAGATGCTAGGACCCAGCCACCCCCTATTCCCTTTTGCCTCTGCCCCACTCCCTGTTCCCTTTGCCCACACCATTCATGGTTGTAGAGACCTTTTTTCATATCCCCCCCTTAGCCTCTGTTTCCAAACTGAAGAGCCCTAACATTTTTTAGCCTCCCCTGGTATGGAAGCTCCCTGCCTCTGACCACCTTGGTTGCCCTTCTCTGCACCGTTTCCTGTTCTTCTACATCCCTCTTCAGCTGTGGGGAGACCACCTTATTCAAGAGTGGGGACTGGATCAGCCCCCCTCAGGCCCCAGGGGAGGCGCACCCAGGCCAAGGGTCAGGGAGGATCTAGTCAGGGAACATCTGGAGGGACTGGACGTATTTAAATCAGCTGGTCCGGACGATCTCCACCCCTGAGTGCTGAGGGAATTGGCTGCGGTCATTGTGGGACCCCTGGCACGGCTGTACGAGCACTCGTGGTGCCAGAGGACTGGAAGAGGGCCAGCGTGGTTCCCATCTTCAAAAAGGGAGGAAGGAGGACCCGGGGGACTATAGGCCAGTCAGTCTTACCTCGATCCTGGGCAAGCTGTTTGAGAGAGTTATCCTGGCCCATGTCCATGAGGGGCTGGGGGGAGATTATGCTTAGGGGCAACCAACACGGGTTCATTAGCGGCAGGTCCTGTCAGACCAACCTGGTGGCCTTCTACGACCAGGTCACCAAATCCTTAGATGCAGGGGTAGCAGTGGACATCGTCTTCCTGGACTTTTGGAAGGCCTTCGACACTGTCTCTCACCCCGTTCTCATTAAGAAACTGGGGGCTGTGGTGTCAACACCCACACAGTCAGATGTGTCGCCAACTGGCTGGAGGGCTGCACCCAGAGAGTGGTGGTGGACGGGTCGTTGTCGACCTGGAGGGATGTGGGCAGTGGGGTCCCCCAGGGCTCGGTCCTCAGGCCTGCACTGTTCAACATCTTCATCAGGGACTTGGACGAGGGGGTAAAAAGCACCTGTTCAAATTAATAGATGACACTAAGACGTGGGGGGATGTGGGCATGCTAGACGGGAGGAATAGGCTGCAATCAGATCTAGACAGGTTACAGGGGTGCGTGGATGAGAACAGGATGGG